ACTTTTTCTCCCTCCTCCAATTCCTTCCCTTTCCTTGAGAGACCATCTGGATACCATTAAATCTTTGGCCCAAAAGGTAGGGTCGCCAGTGTTGGATGGCTAACACCAAAGCCATCAATTCCTTCTCATAGACCGATTTGGTGAGTGACACTTCTGATAGAGCCTTGCTAAAATAAGCAATCGTTTTCTATTTTGAGACAGAACTGCTCCTAAACCGGTGCCTGAAGCATCGCATTCCACCTGGAAGGTTTGGGCAAAATCAGGTAATGCTAATACTGGAGCCGTGGTGACTGCTGTTTTGAGTCTCTGCATTGCCTCTGCCCCTGCAAGAGACCAATCAAACTTCCAATTAATAAGAAGGTTGGTGAGAGGTAGAGCAATCTTCCCATAAACTCTGATGAATCTCCTGTAGTATCCAGTCAGCCCCAAGAATCCTCTCAGCTCTCTAATATTTTTGGGCTCGAGCCATATTGTCACTACAGAAACCTTCTCCTCATCCATCTCAACTCCAGCCTTTGAAATTTTATGCCCCAAATTACGAATTTGCTCTCTTCCGAATTCACATTTGTTTTTATTAGCAAATAATTTCTGTTGTACTAACACCTCCAAAACTTGCTGTAAATGCTGCATATGTTCATCCCAAGACTTACTATATACTAATATATCATCAAAGAAAACTAACACGCACCTCCTCAAAAACGGCCTTAAGACAGAATTCATCATATCTTGGAACGTGGCAGGAGTGTTTATCAACCCAAAAGGCATCACGAGAAATCCATAATGCCCTTGATGCGTTCTAAAGGTTGTCTTAGGAATATCTTCAGTTTTCATCCTGATTTGATGATATCCAACCTTTAAATCAATCTTAGAAAAATACGCTGCCCCTTGTAACTCATCTAGCAATTCTTCTATAACAGGTATTGGATATTTATCTGCCACAGTGACCCTATTAAGTGCTCTGTAATCCACACAAAACCTCCAGCTCCCATCCTTCTTTTTCACTAATATTACTGGACTTGAGTATGGGCTATTGCTAGGGCGAATATTCAGCATTTCTTCAACTTGTCTCTCTATCTCCGTTTTCATATGATGTTGGTAGCGGTATGGCCTGACAGTTATGGGTTCGGTGCCTTCCTTCAACGGTATTGGGTGGTCTACTTTCCTCTTAGGTGGCAGCCCTTGAGGTTCTCGAAACACCTCGTCAAAGTCTGACATAATCTGTTTCAGCCTTGCCTCTTGCATCGGTGCCCAACTCTCGGTTTCCCCATCTGCCTCCACCGCTTCTGCTTGACTTAAGCTCCACACGAGAGTCATGGCTTCTATCTCTTTTTCTTTTAAAAGAACTTCGGGTGTCACCATTCTACGTGTTAAAGTGGGATCTCCTTTTATCTCCACTTCTTTCCCTTCCTGCTCCACCTTCATAATGAGTTATCCCCAATCCACTTTAATCTCTCCTAGGGAAGCTAACCAAGTCACTCCTAATATTACATCCACACCGCCTAACTCAAAGAGATACAATTTATCTCGGACTTCCAAACCGTCTAATTTTACGGGGACTCCTGTACAATACCCACTGGTCACTTTCTTTTGCCCATCTCCCAAACACACTTTATAAGGACGTGTGTCGGTGCTTTCCAAACCCAATTCTTTCATCAATTTGATGGATATAAAACTATGACTAGCTTCGATGTCAATTAACACCAGAATTCTCCTCCCCTTCATCCAGTCTTGCAACTTCATTGTATTAGATTGCGTAAGTCCTCCGGCAGACAATCCCGATAGTTCCATCGCCGTTTGTTCCATCTCGGCGTTCTCCTATGTTTCGTCTTCTCCATCCTCCTCCGCTAATATCATGACCTGCATGCTTCTCTCCGCACAGCAATGGCCAAGACTATAAGGTCCGCCGCAGTGGAAGCAACGTCCTTCTTCGCGCCTCTTAATGTATTCGAGATAAGGCAAGGTCCTTACTCCTCTTCCTTGAGCATTCCCGCCTCCACTATTGCCTGCTCGGGAGACTAAATTGCTGAAAATGCCTTCTTTCTTCATTCCCGATTCGCCACCGGCGTTCACCGACCCATCCGTCAAACTGTGGTAGGTTTCTGTCCTCGCGACAATACCTGAACTCGGGGTATATCTTCCCCAAGTCGTCCCTCCTTTATCTCCCGTTCCGCTATTACCTCGCGATACAGCTCTCGCCTGCTCGACATCGCGAGCTCGCTCCATCGTTATCAACGGATCGCGTGGATCGTAAGGCCTCACTAGATTTCTCAATCCTTCCTGCAATCCAGCAAAAAAATATCCTAATAATTGTTCCTCCTTTACTCCAGCTACTTGTGCCACCAGGAATTCGAACTCCTGTATATATATTCGTAGACATTTCCCCTTTGTCGCACGACGACCAATTTCTCATAAACGGAACCCCTGTTTAATCCCCCAAACCTCCGCGTCAAGGCAGCAGTGAACATGCTCCAAGTTGGGTGTCTGGTCTTCTTCCTCCAGAACCAATAACTAGCACCTCCCTCCATACAGATGTATACCAACTTCATCTTCTCCCTCTCCGTTACGTTTTGGAGATCAAAAAATTTCTCAGCCTTCGTTATCCAGCCCATGGGATCCGTTCCTTCGAACGTTGGTAGTTCAACGCGTTTCATCCAGCTTCGATGCACGTCTCCTCCGTCATCTTCCGCTTCGTCCTCCGAACATTCTGGTGGTCACTGAGCAACAACTTCTTGATAAGCAACTTTCTTTAAGGTCCTTCTCATGATATTTCGTTTTTCACATAATCAGGAATAAGACAGGACTTTTAATAACCGTAATAGAATATATCACGTCTAAGGTCGCACCTTATACTATTGAGTACACTACAGTCGGCGCATGTCTGTTCAGGTAGTAACCCATACTAAAGTCATAGGGCCCTTTCAACCACGACATCTGTATGAGCCAGACCGCATTGAATGCAAAGACTCCCAACTGAATGTATAGTATCCCTACTATGTGGAGTAGGGTCGCGAACCATCTTATTCCCTAAAGGTATAGCCACATGGGGGGGACTTTTTTCATCGTTGATGGAATCGCGACTTCCTTCAGAACTCCGATCATGGTTCCTGGAGCATCATCCTGAACTTCACTGAAACGAGAGTCATCGCTCGCATCCCTGCCTTCAATTCTTCCATGGTTGACTCTATCGCAACCATCTGTCCCTCTATCCTTCCTTCTAGTGCGTTTAGTTTCCCTTCCATTCTTCTTTGCTATGGTTCCTCCTTGCTTGCTCCTCTTTCCTCCGAAGAGATCCGGCAGGTCGGACCAAATCTGTTAGGTTCTTTTATTCAAAGAACCAAACAGCAGCTTCTATTCTCACTCACACACTCAATAGAAGAAAAAAGAAAATGTATGTATGTGTATTTTTATTTCCTCTATAATGTGTAGAAAGAAAAATACAAAGTATAGATCTCCCCCAAGGAAGCTTCCCTTCCTCCACTGGCCAAGAGGTCCAGTCTAAACCCAAAATAATATCTGATCTTCTCGTCAACAACTCAGCTTTTATTTTATACTCTCTCTCCCTAACAAACTAACAACCTTTCTCGCTATTTACTTCCCTTCCTTTTTATTCCTTCTTACATATAAACTTGCAACTTCCTGACACAAACTTGACGATGTACAGAAATATATTCAAGCCATCAGTGTTTATTATACTTTTTCTCAGTCATAAATGCCAATAAAATTGAATATTGAATAGCAAATACATTTTAACAATTAGCTAGTATTCAGAAAGTTACATATCATCAGTTCAACCATTAAGAATATGGCATCGACTAACCAAAACCCCTATCATCAGAACTTTGAATTGAAGAAACTGTCAGGCCTGTCTGTTAATGAGACATTAGTAGTCACTTTGATTTTTTATTCATGCTGCAAATTCTGGGAGTTTATTTCCCAAAGGTGACAAGGGTGTTCTTGCTGAGTCTACTAAATCTTCAAAATCAATCTTTCTCCCCATTGGGCTACTCGTCTTGCGACTAGACTTTCTCTTGTTTGACTGCAAAAACAAAAATAATCAAATTAATAAAGAAGCATCCATTTGTTACATGTCAAGTGCTTCTCATATTATACAAAGATAAAATAAGTTTTTGGAGCTACATGTAACAAATACGGCAATTATAAGCAAAGAAAGACTGTTTTCTATCACCTTCACAGATGCGCTGCCGGTATGGGTATGGGTATGGCTATGGCCATGTTTACTATCAGAACCGCTATGGCTCCTTTCCATGCATCGCTTGGCCAATCTTTTATTCTCGTAATGCAACACGCTATTTTCCTCAAACAATAATTTGACCTATGGTATACCAAGTCAAGTTAGTTATTTCTTATGTTCATTAACAATCTGAAAATCGGAAAGGTCCACGAAAGAAATCCTAACCTCATCTTCAGCTCTGTGAAGATTAACCCTTAGATTTTCTTTATCATTTTCTAGAGATTTGACTTCAGCAACAAGACCCAAAACTCTCTGTGTTGATGGCTTCAAACTAGCAAATCCATAATAGAAAATCAGTATGAATTGATAACATGAAAACATACTGATACTATGGTTTAACCAGACTCACCAGTTCCAGGTTGTCAGCAACTTCTTACACTGATCATTTTCACTATTTGAATTCAAGAATGCAAATGTAGAAGACTCATCCGCAGTAGTAACTGTTGCCAAAAGGGAGTCAAGCAATTTTTCTTCATCGACTGTTCCGTAAGAAGAATCAACCTTCAATAGAAAGTAAAAATATCATTCATTAACATTCATGACCAAAGGACTAAAATTTGGGAAAGGCTTGAAAGCCATTACCATTTCACAGATAAGAAAATAGAGAAAAACAAAGAAACTATAAACAAGTGAGCGTGCCTGTCTGCCAGTAACTAGTCCAAATTCAGTAATATGGTTTTTAACTTAGCAATTAGCAACACCATTGTACCACACGTACATCGTAGATATACTGAACGAGTGTTCCAGATTATTTGAACAGGGTATATTGCGGCCACAAGCAATGGAAAATTATTTCAATTTCCATGATATCAAATTCCAGGCCTCTTTCCACAACAGATTTACTTTTATAATAATTACTTAAAAAAATCGTATAATTGAATGACCGAACTAATCATTAAACATAAACTAGTTTACGTTTGTTTCCATCATAGAAATAACATTAACTTCTTTTGAACAGGGTATATTGCGGCCACAAGCAATGAAAAATTATTTCAATTTCCATGATATCAAATTCCAGGCCTCTTTCCTTTAGCTTAATAGAAACACCACCAAATTCAAACTTCAATCTAGTTCAGCACATGTACCTAGACTGTAAATAAACTGACAATTGCAAAACAANCTTCACGAAAATTTCTGCTATAGATTTGGTCGTGTAAGGGTGTTTGATGGGAATAAAATGGCCATATTTACTCAGCCTATCCATTACTACCAATATCGCATCATATCCTTGGGATTTTGGGAGTTTCACCACAAAATCCATGCTAATTTATTCCCATATCGCCTTAGGAATAAGAAGTGGTTGAAGAAGTCCTTGGGGAGAAGATGCTAAATACTTATGTTGTTGACAAACTAAGTAAGCAGCCACATATTCTGTTATAGTCTTCTTCATGCCCACCCAGTGGAGCGATTGTGCCATCCTCTTGTACGTTCTATAAACTCCCGAGTGCCCTCCCTTCAACATGTTGTGAAATTCTGCTAACAGTTTAGGTATCCACTTCGATTGGGTAGAGAGGACTAGCTTCCCTTTATAATATAATCTCCCATTCTCCATTGTGTAAGCTGAATGAGAATTTGGATCAGCTTTTCATTCCTCCACAATTTTTTTCAGCCTTGCCTCTTGCATCGGTGCCCAACTCTCGGTTTCCCCATCTGCCTCCACCGCTTCTGCTTGACTTAAGCTCCACACGAGAGCCATGACTTCTATCTCTTTTTCTTTTAAAAGAACTTCGGGTGTCACCATTCTACGTGTTAAAGTGGGATCTCCTTTTATCTCCACTTCTTTCCCTTCCTGCTCCACCTTCATAATGAGTTGTCCCCAATCCACTTTAATCTCTCCTAGGGAAGCTAACCAAGTCACTCCTAATATTACATCCACACCGCCTAACTCAAAGAGATACAATTTATCTCGGACTTCCAAACCGTCTAATTCTACGGGGACTCCTGTACAATACCCACTGGTCACTTTCTTTTGCCCATCTCCCAAACACACTTTATAAGGACGTGTGTCGGTGCTTTCCAAACCCAATTCTTTCATCAATTTGATGGATATAAAACTATGACTAGCTTCGATGTCAATTAACACCAGAATTCTCCTCCCCTTCATCCAGTCTTGCAACTTCATTGTATTAGATTGCGTAAGTCCTCCGGCAGACAATCCCGATAGTTCCATCGCCGTTTGTTCCATCTCGGCGTTCTCCTATGTTTCGTCTTCTCCATCCTCCTCCGCTAATATCATGACCTGCATGCTTCTCTCCGCACAGCAATGGCCAAGACTATAAGGTCCGCCGCAGTGGAAGCAACGTCCTTCTTCGCGCCTCTTAATGTATTCGAGATAAGGCAAGGTCCTTACTCCTCTTCCTTGAGCATTCCCGCCTCCACTATTGCCTGCTCGGGAGACTAAATTGCTGAAAATGCCTTCTTTCTTCATTCCCGATTCGCCACCAGCGTTCACCGACCCATCCGTCAAACTGTGGTAGGTTTCTGTCCTCGCGACAATACCTGAACTCGGGGTATATCTTCCCCAAGTCGTCCCTCCTTTATCTCCCGTTCCGCTATTACCTCGCGATACAGCTCTCGCCTGCTCGACATCGCGAGCTCGCTCCATCGTTATCAACGGATCGCGTGGATCGTAAGGCCTCACTAGATTTCTCAATCCTTCCTGCAATCCAGCAAAAAAATATCCTAATAATTGTTCCTCCTTTACTCCAGCTACTTGTGCCACCAGGAATTCGAACTCCTGTATATATATTCGTAGACATTTCCCCTTTGTCGCACGACGACCAATTTCTCATAAACGGAACCCCTGTTTAATCCCCCAAACCTCCGCGTCAAGGCAGCAGTGAACATGCTCCAAGTTGGGTGTCTGGTCTTCTTCCTCCAGAACCAATAACTAGCACCTCCCTCCATACAGATGTATACCAACTTCATCTTCTCCCTCTCCGTTACGTTTTGGAGATCAAAAAATTTCTCAGCCTTCGTTATCCAGCCCATGGGATCCGTTCCTTCGAACGTTGGTAGTTCAACGCGTTTCATCCAGCTTCGATGCACGTCTCCTCCGTCATCTTCCGCTTCGTCCTCCGAACATTCTGGTGGTCACTGAGCAACAACTTCTTGATAAGCAACTTTCTTTAAGGTCCTTCTCATGATATTTCGTTTTTCACATAATCAGGAATAAGACAGGACTTTTAATAACCGTAATAGAATATATCACGTCTAAGGTCGCACCTTATACTATTGAGTACACTACAGTCGGCGCATGTCTGTTCAGGTAGTAACCTATACTAAAGTCATAGGGCCCTTTCAACCACGACATCTGTATGAGCCAGACCGCATTGAATGCAAAGACTCCCAACTGAATGTATAGTATCCCTACTATATGGAGTAGGGTCGCAAACCATCTTATTCCCTAAAGGTATAGCCATATGGGGGGGGGGACTTTTTTCATCGTTGATGGAATCGCGACTTCCTTCAAAACTCCGATCATGGTTCCTGGAGCGTCATCCTGAACTTCACTTAAACGAGAGTCATCGCTCGCATCCCTGCCTTCAATTCCTCCAGGGTTGACTCTATCACAACCATTTGTCCCTCTATCCTTCCTTCTAGTGCGTTTAGTTTCCCTTCCATTCTTCTTTGCTACGGTTCCTCCTTGCTTGCTCCTCTTCCCTCCGAACAGATCCGGCAGGTCGGACCAAATCTGTTAGGTTCTTTTATTCAAAGAACCAAACAGCAGCTTCTATTCTCACTCACACACTCAATAGAAGAAAAGAAAATGTATGTATGTGCAGAAAGAAAAATACAAAGTATAGATCTCCCCCAAGGAAGCCTCCCTTCCTCCACTGGTCAAGAGGTCCAGTCTAAACCCAAAATAATATCTGATCCTCTTCTCAACAACTCAGCTTTTATTTTATACTCTCTCTCCCTAACAAACTAACAACCTTTCCCGCTATTTACTTCCCTTCCTTTTTATTCCTTCTTACATAAACTTGCAACTTCCTAACACAAACTTGACGATGTACAGAAATATATTCAAGCAATCAGTGTTTATTATACTTTTTCTCAAACTTGACGATGTACAGAAATATATTCAAGCCATCAGTGTTTATTATACTTTTTCTCAGTCATAAATGCAAATAAAATTGAATATTGAATAGCAAATACATTTTAACAATTAGCTAGTATTCAGAAAGTTACATATCATCAGTTCAACCATTAAGAATATGGCATCGACTAACCAAAACCCCTATCATCAGAACTTTGAATTGAAGAAACTGTCAGGCCTGTCTGTTAATGAGACATTAGTCACTTTGATTTTTTATTCATGCTGCAAATTCTGGGAGTTTATTTCCCAAAGGTGACAAGGGTGTTCTTGCTGAGTCTACTAAATCTTCAAAATCAATCTTTCTCCCCATTGGGCTACTCGTCTTGCGACTAGACTTTCTCTTGTTTGACTGCAAAAACAAAAATAATCAAATTAATAAAGAAGCATCCATTTGTTACATGTCAAGTGCTTCTCATATTATACAAAGATAAAATAAGTTTTTGGAGCTACATGTAACAAATACGGCAATTATAAGCAAAGAAAGACTGTTTTCTATCACCTTCACAGATGCGCTGCCGGTAT